AAAAAAAAAAAAAAAAAAGACGTACACACAAAAATAAATAAATAAACACACAAATAAATAAATGAAATGAAATAAAAGAAGCCTAAATTCCTTAAGATCCGCCGAGGGAGTAGGTGACAAAACACGGTGCTAAAAAAAAAGACAAAAAAACAAAAAAAAAGAAACATTTTATTAAAAATATATATTGTTAAATTAAGTCTGCTGTCTGGACAATGACTGTTTGTTTTGTTTTCTTGTAGTGGAGTTTCAAAGAGCACTATTATTTTACTCTTATATATTATTATTAAAAAAAAAACAACAAAAAAACAAACCAAAAAAACCCACCCCAAAAAATCTCACATATGTGTGGGAAGAAAGTAGCCTAAGAGAGAAGGGGGAGAAAACAAAGGAAAAGTGTGAAAGTAGAGTATATTAACTTGAGGTTACTGAATTTAAACTGCAGCAGGGAGTTGTATGTTGGCTGAAACCCCAGAGAAACCTACAGTTAAAACACTTTTCTACCTCCATTGACAGAGTAGCCAATAAGCAGGTAGCAGTACGTGGATTATGTGGCCCACGGAAAGGTTAAGGACCCCAGAGAAATCTCCCATGCTGTCAGTTTTGCTCTCCTTGAGGAAAACAATTGAACAAAGGCTTCTACAATGCAGTGCCTAAAAATCATTATACAATCCATTAGTTTCACAAAAAGACAATTACCCCAACAAATAGCTGTATTTTGTTAGTCTGAAATTGAAATATAAGCGAAAACATGTTTTATTCTATTTGACACTTTTGACTTGGATATGTTGGGCACCCAGAAGCTTTGCCATTGTGCTTTAAAAAGTTTTCAATAGGATCTTCAGAAAAGCATCACCTTAGGCACTTCAGGGGTGACATATTAAAAAAAAAAAAAAAAGCTAAAATTAATGAGAACACTCACCGCAATATTAAGAAGGAAAAGGTATTGTCCTCACTTCAAGGGAGCTGAAAATAAAACTTGAGTTTTCCCACTACTTGGCTGCTCTCCACAAAGAAAATCTCTACCTTAGTTATTTGTGTTGTGCTTGACACATCTAGGTTACCAAGGTATGGCTTGAAACTCAGACTCCATGTATTCAAGAATGCATTTTGATGGTGCTACCACCTACCTAAGTATCAGCATGTACAGATGTCAACAGTGAAATGTCCGATTTTCTGAGTCACACAAGACTTGTTTTAGAACAAAACCACTGCCATTACAGACAGCCAAGGCTGGCTTACACAGAGTGCCTCCAGCATACAATCTTAACCACCACAGGAATGGTAAGCCTAAAACTAGTTTGGACAAAAGAGAGTGGTGGGGTCCTGGTGGGTGATGGGATCCCAGGGGGTGGTGGTGGGCTCCGGGTGGGGTCCCAGAGGGTGGTGGGGTGTTGGCAGGAGGTGGGGTCCTGGTGTAAGTGATGGGGTCCCTGTGGATGGTGGGTTCATGATGGGTGGTGGGGTCCCAGGGGGTGGTGGGGTCCCACTCGCAGGTGCGGGGGGGCCATGGGCTGAGCCCAGCTCCCGGGGCAGGTCACGGGGGGCAGCACTGGGCAAAGTGGAGACCCCCCCATTTCTGCCCTATGAGCTGTGGGTCAGGAAACTGCCTCAGTTTCCCCTCCAGCCGGGCAGCACCAGGTTGGGGTGTCAAGGGACCCCGGGACCAGGGACCCCCCCCACTCGGGGGCTGCCCCGGGGATGGAGAGAGCCCCCCCGGCAGGGACACGGGCTGGGGGGGGTCCTGACAGACACAACCAGAGCCCCCGGTGTCAC